AACATGCTGGGCAACTGGTGTAAGATCAGTTGCGTGGCAGGGGGTGATTCCTGAAGTTCACAGCACTACGAAGGCCAGGAGAAAATGACTGGAAATTCTCCATATGTCACCCCACACACTTGTACTTTTGGATCTTTCTGAAAGAAAAAGGAAAGTGTATGATGGAAGAGAGATGGAAAACCTTTTAGAGACCTTATGCTGTCAGTTAAGGAACTTGGATCATGCGTACATGTCAGAGAGGGCAGAGCTTGGTGTAATATTGCAGAGTGTGGGGTAAGCTTGAAGGAAAACTTGTTGCTTGACTAAATTGTTTTGCTATTTCTGAAACAGAGAAACCTCCACATGGTATGGAGTTAATATTGTTGACTCATTTTGGTTCTGGATGTAGCCCTGCTGCCGTCAGACTCATGGACCCACTGGCACATCAAATAGTATCACTACTCTTTGTGCTGTGTTGCTTACTATGCTCCAGTTTGCTCATGTGCTTAGCTGTGGAGAGTAACTCGGACTGGTGTGATGTTCATTCTTACATGTTTTGCAAGGTCAAGGGACAATGAAAGAAATGCAAATTGAATGCACATTTTGCTTATTTGTTAATGAGTGATACTTGTGATTGAGGAAATCAAAATGGAGTAGTAAGCTGATCCTGGAAGCTGTTCTTGACTTGGGTGATATTGCAGTTTAGGATTTTGTTAAACAGTGATTTGCCCAGGGACAGCTATGGTTAATATATGGGAGTTTATGGTTAAATACACAAGTTTTATGGCCAGTCTTTGTCTTTTGTAGTCTTTTCAGCAAAGACTTAATTCTGATACAGTAAATTTTAATACTGATTTAGAGCAACTATAGCTCAGATCCAAGAGCATAATCTAATTTAGCTATATGGACTATATATTGTCCATTGTTTATACTAATGGATAGTGTTGAACGTAAACTGGAATATAAACATATAATATTAATCTCTTATTACTTTGCTCTCTCTCTCAACAGATCTTGATAATGTAGAAGGTATAGCAGTGGACTGGATTGGAAATAATCTTTATTGGACAAACGATGGCCACAGGAAAACCATTGCTGTAGCCAGACTGGAAAAAGCTGCTCAGAGTAGAAAGACTTTGTTGGAGGGAGACATGTCCCACCCCAGAGGAATTGTTGTTGATCCCGTCAATGGGTATGAAGTAGACTACTTTGCGTTGTTTAATTATTGCCTTTGCATTATAAATATGGGATTGGATTTTCCTTAGGTTATGATTTGTAGAGTCATGTAGCAGTCTGCAGTTCTACAGTAGTCCATAATATCTGTAATTACTGTCCAGCATTCTTGCCTGAAGCATTCAGAAGAATGTGTTTGACCAGACACCATTGAATTTATGTCCAGTTAATCTGAATGTGATTCACCTTTTTCTCAAACAAATTGAGTGCATAAGACCTTCATGTATTTTTAATACTAAGTGAACTTCTTAATAATCTCCTTTATTTCTCTCTTTCTAAGTCTCAGTTTCTTAAGATAATTATAACCATATCCTTGTACATGTTGATTTACAAACCTAAATGAGACAGGTACTTTTCATTACTTACTAGCATAATTAATTGTGATAGGCTGCATAATAAAAAGAACATTATGTTAGTGTGGCAGAGTTGTGGTTTACCTAAATTTGCTGTTATATTTATTAGGGAATTGTCACTGGAGAATGATGTAGGCAGGAATTCAGGCTGGATTGATTGCTGTTTTCTTAGTACTAGGATGTGTTTACACTATCAGGTTTTCACTTTTGAGCTTGTCCTTTGAGGAATGGAAGTGACTGTGAAAAGGCTACAATTAATTAAGGTCAGATAGTAGGGATGTAAAATCAGACCACAAACCATAACCATGCGTACAATTACTTCGTTAAATTTTCCAGCTCAGTAAATGCACAGCACAGGAAAGAGCATATGAAGATATATTGTTTGAAAAGGGCTATTATATAAAACACTTTTCCAATAAAATAGTGTTCCCTTCATGATTATATGTCTCATGGAAGCTTTTCCTGAGGGATAGCATTTATTATGGCATTTTAATTATGTTTGGAAAATATTAGTCTTGATTTAACCAATGTACAGGCATTAACTGCATTTTGAGATACAATTAAAAAACGTTAATGTAAATGTCTGTCACTGTAAGCATGTTTTAGCTAATGACATGATAACTAGAATAAGTACAGGCAACAAGTTAATGGAAAAAAGCTCAGTAATTGCTGTTGAGCAGTCATGTAAATATTTGTAAAACATTTTTTGTCTTCCAATAAAATAAATACCATATTTACCTGCATCTGTGCCTGAGCTCTGGGGCATATGCAGGTTTTGTAATTCTGTGGTTAAAGCTGGTGTTGTTGGAGTCAAACATACAATGAAGTTTAGAAGCATCATGGATCAAGAATTGGTGGTTGTTCTTAGTGTATATTTACAAAAATACTAAAAGAACCCAGACCAACCTTCTGATGGGTGACCTAGAAGAGACAGAAAAGAGACAAAAAAGGGACATTTGCATATCTGTAAATCTGCAGTTTTGTCTTTATCTTTTTTAGTTTCTTATGTGAAAAGCAAATGGATCAAATGATTATACATGAAAGTGTATTTGAATAAAAATTTTGGCCAGTAAATTTGACATCATTTACACAGATTTGATAACAAAACTGTTTTCCCTTCAGTGTTTCATTATTTTGTAAATGCAGCATTTAAATTAGAGAACTTTATTCTTCCAAGTACAGTTAAGTAGTTTGGGATCATACAAGTTGCTTCAGAAACATAAATCTGGTGAAATCAAAGCTGAGGCACATAAATACCAATTAAATCCCAACACCTTTTACAAATAGATTTACAAATACATTTAAGAACCATATGATGTTTTTCCTCTATTTTATGCTTAATTATTGAAATCCTAGATTTGGCTTTAAAAGTAAACATCTACTGTCTAGTAAATATTTTCAGCATATTGATATCATGGTGCACCATGTGATCAGAAATGCTGTTTAGACACTTTATAGATTATGTTCAGGCTTCTATATGTTTCTTCCCATGAACCTATTTTTCCTTTGGGGGAACAAACAAACAAAAAAAAAAAAAAAAGAAAAAAGAGAGGTGATGTCTCAGCATATTTGCTGCCCTCTGCTTTTGTATGTGTTCAAGTTGAGTAATTGAAGTTGTTGAAATCAGAACTGTCACCAACAGGTCTGTAAAAATAGTATAATCATATTAATTCAGTAAGGCAAAAAAATAAAGGTAGGATGTGTTCTGTAGTGTCTAATTAAGAATGGCTTAGAAAACTCATCTGAGCTGATAATTTTAGGTGAATTATTGCAATACTTGGTTGATTTTTTTCTGAAGTAGCATAGATGCTGCTTTTTCAGAGTTGTTTTGTTTACCTACATTGATGCATTATAAATCATAAAATTATGCTAAAACTGCTTGCCACTGTTTTTTAAATAATTCTTGCAGCCATCTACCTTTCTAAACATTTTTGTGAGGGACACTCTACTCATAATAATTTTTTTAGTAATTTAGCTGCTTTCATGGGGGATGTGAAGTTCACAGCATGTCAAGGTTATCCTGTATCTGTTAAATTAGAGTACAATTAATAAATGTGTTGCAGCTTTTTTTTGACAGTATTAGATACAATAAAAAGCAGATTTGCACCATAAAGGCAAATTAAACTTGGGGGAAAAAAAAGAAACAAAACAGTAAAAGTGTAAACTTTGTGATGAAGTCAATAGAATTACTGGTTTAAAAAAATAAATCATAATTCTGGTGTGATTAAATAAGGTCTTGAGCAATTCTTTCTTTTCTCTTGTCAGTTGGTTCATTTGGTATTCACGTAACTCATAACAGTACAGGCAAAGCACCCTAAGTGCTTTCAGCAGAATCCCATATATGGGGAATGCAAATATGTAGAAAGAGCAGTGGAAAGAAACATGCAGCAGTCAAAATTGCTCTGACTTGCAGATGTACTTTTGCAAGCTGCTGCTAAATGTCTGCAGTGTAATTCACATGATTAAGAGGATATATGAATGCTCATTTTTATAATTTCATAGCTGGATGTATTGGACAGACTGGGAAGAAGATGAAATAGATGACAGCGTGGGAAGAATTGAGAAGGCATGGATGGATGGCTACAGTCGGCAGATTTTTGTAACATCAAAGATGCTGTGGCCAAATGGTTTAACTCTGGACTATCGTGCCAATGTATTGTACTGGTGTGACGCCTATTATGATCACATTGAAAGGATATTTTTGAATGGAACTGAGAGAAAGGTAAAAGAAAAATACTGCTGCTTTGCCAGAGGCATTCTCTTTCTCTGGATTTTATTATGTTATGTTAAAAATACTTTCTAAGCTTTTTAAAGGCTGCTTAACCCTACACCATGTCCAGTGTCATCTCTTGAGACAAGCAATGTTGGCAGTCTCCTGTAGGAGACCATAATACAGCTTAAAATTTTCATCTTTAGAAAGTGACACAAAGGTTGATTTAAAAAAAAAAATATCTTTTTTTTCCTCATGTGACAATGAGTTACATTTTGACTGAGCCATGAAGCTACAAAGAGCTTTTCAGGAGGAAAAAAAAAACAACCCTTCTTTTAGCTCTACCAGGGAGAAGCTTTTATTTAACTTCACTGGCTAAGCTGCTTTCGATGAGTCTCAGAGCCCTGTTTGAGCATTTGTGGTAACATACAGAGGGGAAGCACTCAACAAGGGCAAAGATGGACAGAGATTGTTTTAGTTATTACTAATAGCTATAGTAACTGGGTACAACCTGTACAGAAGTTCTGTGTTGTTTTGTAGAGGTAATAAGCACCAAACAGATATCTGGAAAGCAGTTAAAGCTTAGACTGGAGTCTTATAATTTGGGAAGGTTTAGCATCTGCTTTTTAAAATTATTACCCTGACAACTGGAATATCATTAATTGAGAATGGTGGGTATTAAGTCCTTCTGTGGGAATATTTTGTCTCCAAATGTATGTCTTGTAAATTCTCATTTATCCTTCAGTTATGGTTCCCTCTGTATGATGGCCTTGATAGAACCAATACACTGATCTCTAGTTCTGAAAGTAGTAACTGTAGACACTTAGCCTTGTACAAGCTCATATCACTTTAATACTGAATTTAAAATCCTCTCTATTGATCTGTTGTTAAGCCTGTACCAATGCTTTAGTGTTGCAGTTTGTCACAACAGCTAGGTTAGGATTTACATTTAGTGCTTCTACTTTTGCTCCGAATCTATTGTGATCCTTTAATGAAGGGGGAAGGAGGCTAAGCACACTGGTAGAAAGATAATCTTTAATTAGAGAACCTTGTCTACTAGCAGTGCTAGACTTCCTGAAAATTTCCTGGACAGAACAGGTCTTGGAGGGTTAAATGCAGCTACCATGGGTTACACATTAATTACTGCTGAGAACTGCTGGTTTTGCTTCCCACTAGAACAGAGGAATAATAAGAAGCACCTGTCTTTACAGGATTTATTTTGAAGTGTGTCACAGAATGGTTCTGGTTATTTAAAAAGTGTTGGTCTGTAATTCTGGGATTTAATCTGAATGAACAACAAATTACACCAGTACAGGTTAGGAGCTAACCTGCTAGCAAGCAGCTCTGTGGAGAAGGATATTGGAGTCCTGGTGGACAACAAGTTAATCATGGGGCAGCAATGTGCCCCATTTGGCAAAAAAAAGCCAATGGTATTCTGGGGTGCATTAAGAAGAGTGTGTCCAGCAGGTTGAGGGAGGTTCTTCTCCCCCTCTACTCTGCCCTAGTGCATACTCCACAGTACAGAACTCCACCTGGAGTATAGTGTCCAGTTCTTGACTCCCTGTTCAACAGGTACAGGGACTTAAACTTGAGAGAGTCCAACGCAGACTACAAGGATGATTAAGGAATTGAAACACCTGTCTGATGAGGAAAGGCTGAGAAACCTGCAGCTTTTTAGTCTGGAGACAGAAGACTTGAGAAGGGGATCTTATTAATGTATATAAATACCTAAAGGGTAGGTGTCAAGAAAGAGGAGCCACTCTATTTTCAGTCATGCCCTGTGATAGGACAAGAGGCAATGGTTGCAAGCTAGAGCACAGGAAGTTCCACCTCGACATGAGGAATAACTTCATTACTGTGAGGGTGACAGAGCACTGGAGCAGGCTGCCTAGAGAGGTTGTGGAGTCTCCTACTCTGGAGACTTTCAAGACCCGTCTGGATGCATTTCTGAGTGACCTGCCCTAGATTCTGTGATGGTGCTGCTCTGGCAGGGGGGTAGGACTCACTGATCTCCAGAGGTCCCTTCCAATCCCTACCATTCTGTGATTCTGTGATATTCATATAGCCAAAAATAACTAGAAGATGGTTGCTTTTGATGACGAATAATGTGTTGTTTATTACAGGATAGTTTGCTCAAATTACGCCTGAGTCAATAGCATCTTTACCTCCAAAAGTCTTAGTGTAATGGAGATTTTAGGAGGTGAGAAAATCGTATAAAGATTCCACCAGTAGCTGGTAGATGGTTGACTGGTGGATTGATTCTGATCAAAAGCTGTTCACTGAGATTAGGAGTTTTGACCAAAATAATTCCAAGCCCAAAGAGAAAATTTGAAGGGCAAAATGGGGTGTTTGTCACCTTAACGTAGTTGTATTTTAGTTGGCTTTATCTCCTTGTTCTCTTGGGTTTATGTCTCTAGTTAGAGCCAAAGTAGAGCATCTGATATACTGCTTTCTTCTTTCTAGAAATAAGATAGAAATGCACTGTTGGGCATTAGTTCAGGCAAGGATCCCAGCCAGCAGAAGACGACTGGAACTCAGTCCTTCCAAACTGCAGCTCCTATGGTGAAGTATAAAGACAGGGCTCCCAAAAGTAGCTTATAGAGAGGTCTGCAGTTTCAATGTCTTTTTTGAGTAAATCATTCTAATTACTGTAATTTACTTAATGGTAAGATTTTTTTTAAAAAGTTTGTTTTTATTCTGTAGGGATTGAAAACATTTTTAAACTGCTCAGACAGCTCTTGCATAGCAGTAGTTGCAGTTCTTGTGGAGGAGTCCTGAGACTGAAGCTATAAGAAATTACATGGTTTTAGAACATTTCTGTGACAAATAATATCAAGACAGACTTAGGATGTAATTTGTAGGGGTTTTTTTCATGTGAGCTAATAAACCAGAAGTAGAAGGTGCTGTAAACAAAGTTTGTCTGTTTTTTCCAGACAAGCTGGAGCAGGACTTTTCAATTATTTATTTTTTTTAATTATTTTTTTTTTTGAGTTATCACAACCCAAATTAGAGATCAAGTACACAAAAATAAATGAGGAATTTCTGCACTTACTTCACACTTCAGCAAAAATAAGCATCTCATACACACTTTACTTTAAAAGAAGCAGATATTTTGTATACTTAACAGATACTTGAAGTTATGTAAACAGCCATGCTTCCTTGCTAGAGAAGAAGGTACGTATTTATTGAGTGTAATGGTTGTGTGGTTACCTGCATTCCTCTGTGTTATCTGACAGGGGACACTTCAAATGGATTTGTACACCATTTTCAAGCTAGATAATGGTGCTGGTATATAGAATGGCTTTGCACTCTTTATTTGATTTGATTGCATTAATTCGTTATGTGTGGGCATAGTGCTTATCTCAGTTTTCCTATTTCCCATCTTATGTTCTCTGCAGTGTTTGCTAAGAAAAATTAATAATTATTTTAGCCTTGGTAAATCACACCTACCACTAATTAACTGCAGGTTGTCTACAGTGGAAAAGATTTGAATCATCCTTTTGGACTATCCCATCACGGAAATTATATTTACTGGACAGATTATATGAATGGGTCCATTTTTCAGTTGGATCTGGTTACAAGGAATGTGACACTGCTGAGAAGTGAGAGACCACCTTTGTTTGGACTCCAGATTTATGATCCACGTAAACAGCAAGGTATTTATAACATACGATTTCTCCAAAGGATGTTTTCCCCTATAGTCTCCTAGTATTTTGAGGTGACACTTTGAGCAACAGCAGAAAAAAGAACATGACTTAGTGTATGAGAAAAGATACTTTCTGATTTTTCAATCCACTGATGTGTAAGTTGATCATCTAATACATACTAAAAAGTGAATCAGTATTTTCTCTGTCTGAATTTGTTCTGCGTATTTACACTTCCTTTATTGCCATTTTCCTTGTGTGTCAAAATGATGTGAAAATATAAAATAGAATAGATAATATATACACATTGACTCATATAATACATTATTGCATTTACCTTTTCATAAATAAGATCAGAGATCCTGGCTGCCTTTTACTTTTTGTCATTTTCTCCCCCATCTTGGTCTACATCAGCACTGCATGACTTAATCTCCTAAAAGTACATGGTGCTTTTACACAGAATCAGACTAAGTGCCCTTTGAGAGTAGTGAAAAAATCCATAGTTGTTGCTACTTATGTCCGTAGAGAAATGGAATAAAGGCCATAGGTTTTCACAGGATGTTTGTAAAGGTCATAGGAGTTTAGAAAATGCAATTGCTGCTACACAGGTAAATTTGCAAAATTATTGTACTGAAGAAGGCTTTGGAATCCATTTACTGCATGCAGCCTTCAGGTGAGTTTGTGAATATTTGCTCTCTTTAATTAAAACATAATTCTGATTAATATCTGGTTAATATCCGCTGCCAAACATAAAACCAAACATCAGGAATTTGTATGACTGAAATACTGTTTAGAAGATGACCACATTAAATATTAATCTCTATAGGTCTTATTAATCTCTTCAGATAATAAATTTTGGCTGAAAGAAGTAGAACATTTTGAGTTCAGCAGTTTCTATAGAAAATCAGAGACACTAAGATGTTGTCAGTCCTGCTACATATAATGTACATGAACCAGAAGAGCAACAAAATGTAAATTTCACCATTTATCCAAATGCTACTTAGTACAGATGCAATGTTAAGACGTGCTTGCACAAACAGTGATTTATTTATGTACTTAAAGATTACAGAACCTTTTATGCTAACTTTGTCCCTGTGCATAATGTCCCATTTTATTTTCACATTATCATCACCTTCCAATCTAGATCTGGGTACAGTATCTTGTTCGTGTCTCTGCTTAGCACGTGGAAGATTTGATTGTGTTTCTGTCACTTGTAGTAATTTATAGTTAATGAAAGGTTTAGAGAGCAACTAAAAAAAATCTAGTAGAGTGCATAGAATAAAAGCATTAAAAAATATTTAGCACTTAGACAGAAAATATTTAGCCTTTGTATTTGTTATTGGCATATATCTATATAGCAGATGTGCACATTTATCTCTGTGTATGCACAAATTATACACACATATATATATGTGAAAATATAGAATTTTCCCTATAAATTCTCGCTAAATATTTTGCAAAGGTTTCTTTCAGAGGTTTTATATACTGTATACACTGCCTATCTTTTTTATTGTTTTGCTTCTGTCCAGTCTTACCATTTTTTCCATCCAGCAAAAAACAATGGGTCATTCTAATTTGCTCATGAATGCATTCTCTGAAATTGCAAATGGAATTTTGTAAGCTAACTGTAGCCTTCCCTTTTCGTCATGTTCAGTGAGGTTGATCTTGCATTGTTTCCAAAGGAACATAAGCATTTCTTTTTAAAAAGTCAAGCTTTTATTTTTTTTTTCCCTTGCTCTGTCTCTTCTGAAAAAGCCAACAAGATGAAGGATGGATCCTGTGGTACAAAGTAAACTGTAATAGTTCATTTCATAGTGCAAGCTTATGCACACATATGTTAGAAACATTTGGCTCTGATATTTTGAGGTTACTGTTTTGATACTACTGTTATTGTGAGTGTCTACACAAGCAGAAACCATGTCAGCTCATTTTGGCATAGCGGAATTGCAGCTGGCATTTCTGTGGAGGGATCTGTTGTGGGATATTGGACTTGCCAGTCCTGTTTGGCTTAGTGCTACGGGTAGCAATGTTAAGCTTCTTTTGGTATCTCCTTAAGAAGAGGTATTTTGTAGTGTGTTTGTAACTCATGAGGCATGTCTCTTGCAAAGGAACACTTTTTCTTGCTTTCGGAGATTAGAATTCATCTTACTTTCTTAGGCTTAGTCTCTATGTGTCAGGAATATCTTAAAAATGTGGAGGTGGTGGGTTGCGTAGTAATGATAGGTGTTGGTTTTACAGTCAGCATACAAACCTGCCAAGGCCTGGGGGTATTTCCAGTGTTATGAAAGGGGAGATTGCTATTCATGTGTAAGTAATTCTTGTCTAAATCCGTTTACAGCAGTTAAAATAGACTGTCTTAAAATCAGTTGCAATTTTAACTCAGGTTGCAAAGAGCTGCTGCTTGAGCCTGACTGCTGCCCTCCATGCATGGTGTGATCCTAAAAGTGGGCTTACACACCTTCAGGTTAGGTTTAGGGGAAGATACTAACATAAATAAAGACTCATTAAAACAGAAGTACAATGATTTCTAAGCAGCAGTAGATATTTCAGTTTAACTTTTAAAAGAGAATTTTAAACTAATGTATATGGTTGCTCTATTTTTTTTTTTCTTTCTGAGAATGACTACTGAGATGAAAGTGTGCTGTGTGTTAGCTCTGGGCTGATTTTTTTTTTTTTTTTAATTAAAATAGAACCAGCCTAATTTACTGACAGGCAGGTGGCAGGGCAGCAACTCTTTTAAAAGCTGGAAAAATATAATAGCTTTAAAAGTAGTTTTAAAATGTTGGGAACATTTTGGCAACACCCACATAAAAAAGCTTTTATGATCAGCAGTGGAGGAAGTTTAAGTTCATAAATACTTGCTTGCTACATGAGTTCCACAGCTGAGTCAATAAAGAGACTTGCCCTGGTGGTTGTAGTACATTTCAGGAGACATTTTAGCCTAGAGGTCTCTTCATCCAGACTGATGGGATTGAAGTTCTCCTTGCACCTTCAGGTTGAAGACCTCCTCAATGCTCACCTTATAAACCTTTTTATCTAGGATCTTGCTGTAACTCTTGATACTTGCATTTTCCTTGTCATCATCCTCTCTTTTATTTATCACTTACCTAGCAAGTAACCTACTGTACTTTAGTTTGTCATCCCGATTATGAGGTTAAGTAGGAATGTTTCATCTTCAAAATGGACCAGTTGACTTTGATCTAGTGTTTCATTTTGATCTAATTTAGTTTAAGCTTGCATTGGGCTTTGGAATCATTGCGGGTTTTCAATATTTTCTATGTCTCTCTTAAATAGGCTTTTATTCTATAGCCTCATTCTTGTTAGTGATCTGACAAACTCATGTATGTTATTTAACCTCCTCACTGCAAATTACCTTGACTTGTGCTCTGTAATTTTGGATTCACTTTTGAAGAATATATCTTGGTTTGTTTGTTTTGACAGCTTCTGATATTTTCTTAAATCTTTTTGTTAGTGACATTCTTTGTTTTGTATAACAGGTGGCCCTGTCAAGATGTAGAAATTTCCAAAGCTGTGTTGTACATGAAGTTTTCCAAGATTTAAATGCAAATAGATCACTTTTTTTGGATGTTTTGTTCATATTACTTGGTTTGGTGAGCATAGATGTAATAAGGAGCTGATTTTTGCACAATGTATTTTAAGTGCCAAGTCTAAATTGGAGCTGCTATATCTAAAATTGTGATCCAGCCCTCACATCATAGAGGATTCCAGTTTATATAGTTATGTTCTTGCCATCTCCCTCACACTCTGCCCAATGAAAGTGCAAGTGCCACAGTGGCTTCCCACAGCATTCTGTGTGAATTACTTTACTCAAATTTATTTGGAAGCTCAGTGGGTTTTTAATGGAGTGTAGACAGATTTTATTCTAAGAAATGGTGTATGGTGAGTTGGAAAAAAAGTCTAGAAATACCTTATTATTAAATGTTCAGGGTCCGTATTGTAAGATGTATTGAAATGCCTCTTAAAAATTGAAATTTTTCAGTCTTAAACAATTTGCTGGTTATCTGATGTTCATTTGATAATTTGAAAATGTTTCCCTGCTCATGGTTCTGACAGATCAGTTTTAAGTGTCCACAACTTCTTCTGAGAGCAGTGCTTGGAGAAGAGGGAATTGCATGGAGTCTATTTTAACTCGGGAGGTTGATGAATGTTGTGCTCTGAAAAGGAGGAGCAGAGGAAGGAACACCTGCTTTTTACTAGGACAGGAAGATGAAAAACGTAGTTTAAAGTTTCAGCAGACATGAATTTTTATAGCTTGCCTTGATCATAGTCAGTTATCACCAACACTTGAAATGAACACAGCTAAAATCATGAAAAGGTGAATGTCTTCAGCAGTGCCTATCTAAGCAATTAGGTCATGACACAAAAAGAAATTGTAACATCTGCCTCAGTGGGCTTTGGTTTTAGGTCTGCTTGCCTGAGGAATGTGATTCAGCAGATGTGTTCAGAAAAGAGTAGTGAAATATCCGTCCTGTGCTCTGTCTGCCATAGATCTCATTGTACTTCTCATTATTGTTTTCTCTCTTAGTCTGTATTTGTAGTAGTAGTTTTTTAACATATGCAGATGCCAATACATTTCAGAACATTCCTTTATATGCTATTTAATTTCTTAAAAGTACTATGGCCTTGTGGATGCATCAGATTAAATATTTTGTAATATTTTTTACCTTTAAAAAAGGGAGATAAGATGTTTTGAGCTGATGGTGTAAGTTGTTGTTGTTATTAATATTATTAATAATTATTATTACCGTTTATTGAAATCTGTAACTAAAATTGTTTACATATTACAACTCTCAGTAACCAAACTATGAGAATAATGTGTTCCTAAAATCTAAATTATTACATTCTTCATGTGCTTACATTCTGAAAAGAATCTGTTAGTTCTAGCGTGGCTGTTAGTTTCAAAGTTGCTTTTATTTATCTTCACAGGTGATAATCCATGTCGTGTTAATAATGGAGGCTGCAGCACTCTTTGTTTAGCCATTCCTGGAGGCCGAGTTTGTGCCTGTGCTGATAATCAGCTTCTGGAGGAAAACAGCACAACCTGCATGAGTAAGATTTTTAAAGAATATCTGAGCTGATAGTGCTGTTAAGGGATCAAGTCAAGTCTGAAAACAAAACCAGAAAATGTGGTCTCCTAGAGGCTTTTTTTGCAGTTCTGTAAGACAAATAAATATTCCCAAAAAAAAGATTCTAATTGGACACAGTGTATTAAATATGATACAGGTATTTTTGAAAACACAGAATACTCAGTAGACAGTATTTGAGGATAAAATGCATTGGAAAGTATTTCTGAGTGTCTGTGATATGGTAAAGCACTCGAATATTTCACTGACTTCTCTTAAAGAATATCAGAAATACGAGAAATGAATGCATGTAATTATTATATTATATTGAATCTATATAAAATGGCTTCATATTATTATATGGACTAAGTATCTTAAATTGAAGCCTGGCATAGGCTGAAACTGTTAATAAAACCTGTCAGGCAGATACATCTGTGTATAATGGATCCTGACACAGACTGCACAAATTATGCTGTCTTTTTTTCCCATCTCATCCTTGGATATCTTCATAGAAGCACCTATTAAAAGACTTGTGTTAACATTAAAATGTGGGGTTTTCAAGTAAAAATAATAACTAATCAGGTAACACAGATTTTATTTTATCTTTGAATGTTTAGACCTGATATTTGTAACAGTTAATTTATTTATTTATTTATTTATTAATCTCATGGATCTATTTCTTGAAGTGTATTGTGTAAAACTTTTCCTGGGTCTTCAGCAGTAATCCTAGTGAAGATGACTAAAGCTTGCAAGATACTGAGCTTGCAATAACCTTGAATTTGACCCAGATGCATGGCTGGCAGAGCCATCACTGTTGCTAAAGAAAACCGTTTTTCTTTTTAGCAGAAAATGCTGGAAAGTGGACTTTTCAATGGTAAGATGGAATGTAAGCATTAGGAAGAGAGGTTAGACAATTTCAGATCTGAATGAAGCAGGTTTCCTGCTTTTCCCCAACACACTTCATAGCCCAGCTCTTTCCAAGGACTTTGATGTTCCTTATAGGGTCACAGAGTGTTGTGTGGTATTTACACATTAAGCAATCTGAACCTTATGTTGAGAAATGTATCTGTCTGGATTTATCAATAAGCTTTTAGCTTTCTACTTAAGTCTACCTTGGCATAATTTGATCCTTCCCTTTTTGCCAAGTCTGTACCAGTGCTTAATGCAGGTGTTTGAGTTGTTGCTTGGATATAAGAATCACATTTTCAGTAATCATTTTCTAGCGATTTAACGTGCATCAGAATTTAGTCTGTCTGCGTAAAAGCATTTTCTTTTTCCTGTTGATGAGGCATTGCAATATTTTAAAGTGATATTTCTACCCTATGCACTGAGCACCAATTTAAAAAACTGAGTGTTACTCTGTTTGGAGCTCTTCCTTTTATTAAAAATATATTACCTCAGGCATACACTCAGATATACGTGCTGCTACGGGCTTCAGGTGGCATTACCTCAAATACAGAAAGTTGACTAAAAATGTTCTGAAAAGTGAATAGAATTTATATCTATTTATCTAGAGATGGGATTGCATTCCGTATGGATCAAGCTGATAAAACAGGTGTGCTTCTTGCATATTTTTCCTAGTTAAGCAGGGGGAAGTGCTGCCACAGTTGTGCAAAGCTGAGCAGTTTCAGTGTAACAATAAGCGCTGTATCCAGGATCGCTGGCGCTGTGACGGAGATGACGACTGTCTGGATGGCAGTGATGAGCATTCTGAGATTTGCTGTATGTATGCTTTTACATTTTAACCCACAGTTAGAAATAAGAATTGAAAAGTAATAGAAAACGTGCCAATTGTGTGTTTGTGTCATTGCTAGAAGATAAACTCTTTTCCTTAGTGTGTCACAATGCTTCCTGTTTCTGTCATTAGATTATTTCTCTAAACTGAATCTCCTTTACTGAAATGAAAATGCATTGTCTTTTCTATATCAGTTGTAGTCATGGTGCACTATTCTACTGTGTAGCATTGTTCTATATATCTGAAAACTCTTATCATAGTCTCTCATCATTTTGATACAAAACAATTCTGATCTCTTTTTTCTTTTTTTTTTTTCCAGTAGATTATGGGCACTTTGTAGATCTCATTGCTCTTTTTTGAACTTTGCCACGTGATCCTAGGGGTGTATGTCTAAAACTGATCTGTGCTTATGCGGAGGCCTTTATGAAAATGATTAGACTGACATAATGTGTTTGGGAGGGTTGACAGTCCTGTTGATACATCCATGGGTAAATCTTGCCTGTTTCACACTGGCCTGATGTTACCAATACCTGCTGAGCTTGTGATCCTCTGTAATGCCTAGGTCTTTTTCTGAATGGCTGTTACATAGTCTGTTTGGTTCTTTTCCTGCCTTATGAATTTTGATATCTCCATGTACTGACTTCAGTCCAAATTCTTTTTGAAACATTTATCCAGTTCTCATTTATTCAGTTACCTATCCATTTTATTGCAATACCAGGGATTCTTACACTTAAGCAAGGAGCTTAACTAATAAAGACAGTGAGAAAGAAAATATTTTGGCAGCATTGACTTTATTCTCATTTAAATTAGGGTAATTTAGACCAATTTATTGATCAAAGGTTGTTACTCGTAGAGGATTTATACAGGTATAAATGAAATAATGATCTAGTCCCAAATCTGCGTGTCATACATAGTTTAAGTGGCCAGTATGATAACAGTAATCTCTTTTCTCCAGTTGCTATAGTAACTTCAATAGTTCTCTTTTTGAGTTAGTCTAAAATATTTGCAGTTAGGAATAGGGTACACACAACAATGAATATGTATCACAGAATCCTAGGGATTGGAAAGGACCTCAAAAGATCATCTAGTCCAACCCCCCTGCCAGAGCAGGATCACCCAGAGTACATCACACAGGAATACATCCAGGTGGGTTTTGAATGTCTCCAGAGAAGGAGATTACAACTTCTCTGGGCAGCCTGTTCCAGTGCTCTGTCACTCTCACAGTAAAGAGGTTTTTTCTGATGTTTGCATGAAACCTCCTATGCTCTATTTTGCACCCATTGCCCCTTGTCCTACCACTGGACATCACTGAAAAAAGCCTGGCTCCATCGTCCTGACACTCGCCCTTAACGTATTTGTAAACATTGATAAGGTTGCCGTTCAGTCTCCTCAAAGCTAAAGAGACCCAGCTCCCTCAGCCTTTCCTCATAAGGGAGGTGTTCCACTCTCTTAATCATCTTTGTGGCTCTGCACTGGACTCTTTCAAGCAGTTCCCTGTCCTTGAACTGAGAGGCCCAGAACTGGACACAATACTCCAGATGCAACCTCACCAAGGCAGAATAGAAGGGGAGGAGAACCTCCCTTGACCTACAAACCACACCCTTTCTAATACACCCCAGAATGCCATTGGCCTTCTTGGCCACAAGGGCACATTGCTGGCTCATGGTCATCCTTCTGTCCACCGGGGCCCCCAGGGCCCTTTCTCCTACACTGCTCTCCAGCAGTGAGTTGGTCAGCCCCCAACCTGTACTGATACATGGGGTTGTTCTTCCCCGGATGCAAGACTCTGCACTTGCCCTTGTTGGATTTCATCAAGGTTCTCCCTGCCCAACTCTCCAGCCTGTCCAGGTCTCTCTGAATGGCAGCACAGCCTTCTGGTGTGTCAGCCACTTCTCCCAGTTTAGTGTCATCAGTGAACTTGCTGAGGGTGCACTCTGTTCCCTCATCCAGGTCATTGATGAAAATATTGAACAGCACCCAGCAAGAACTTAACTACAATTTAAAGCAATACCCCTCTAGTGTTAAGATTTAAAAAGTCTTTGATTTTTAATTTTATCACATGAATGATACTTTTATTTTCTAGTCACATTGCAAACTAGGTTACTTCATCAGTACTGTGAGACTTGGAATGCCTTTCTGCTCGGATTAGTAATTAGTCCTTACTTCCAATGTTCTTGCACCCTCCACACAAAGCACTCATGAAGGGTTCATATGCTGTTGATACCACACTCGCTCTGTCTTGTTCTCAATAGAAAGAGTAGGTAGAAAGGTCAAAGATATGAAACTACTGAAATGTCAAGGATAAATCTGGAAGACATCCTTTCATTTTAAATACTCTTTGTTTCCAGATATATGTTAAACTTTAAAAAAGAGACTTTGGATGTCTGAGTAGGTGGAAAATAGCTTGAGATTATGTTTAACCCAGCATTTGAAACTGTGTATAGTTCACTTCTCTTGTCTAATACAAGATTAACCAGATCTGCTAAAAATAGATCTTGTTATTAGCATGAAGGAAACAGATCATATAGACTTATTACAACTGCAAGAGCCAGCCAATGGTATTTACATAATTTCTGTGCTTTCAGTGTTCATCCTTGCCATGATATTTGGTAGCTTTGAAAAACATGTTTGTGAGATACCTTGTTCACTCTTGAATACCAGATTTTTTTTATTTTTTTTTTCAATTTTACACTGTCTTGTGTATTTCTCTTTTTGACACCTACAATTTCTTGGGAAGTAAACAGCAGGACTGTATGTGGCCACTGACAGTAATGTGCATAATTTTAGAAGCATTTTCTAACCTGCCCAAATCCCCGTATGCTGTGATACAATATCTTGGATATGCGCTTAGCAACTTACGTCTGTTCCCTCTGTTTTTTTTTTCCTGTTTATATGCACTTCAGTTTGCAAACCTCATCACACTGATAAAATATGATCAGGACATTTTTTGTTTAAGGAAATAGCAACATTGTAAAATGATGATACCTTTTATCACCTATTAGATACTAGAAGAGGACCTCCGTATTGCCATTAGGATGATGGGAGAATCTTTGTTATGTATTCTCTAACTTGTCATTGAAGTACTGCAATATTTTTGAATTTACTAGTTTTCTTAACAATTTTTATATTGTGGTAATTACATATACAAGATAACCATGCTCGCTGCATCACCAGGAAATACCATTTAATATATTCAGCTGTTTATCTCTGATTATTTTCATTTATATCCCCAGTCAATCATAGTTGTCCTGATGATCAATTCAAGTGCCAAAATAATCGCTGCATTCCCAAGAGGTGGCTTTGTGATGGGGCTAATGATTGTGGTAATAACGAAGATGAATCAAATAAAACATGTGCAGGTAAAGATTTTATTTGGTTATATATACAAATTCTCCAGCTCCAGTTCCATAAACTGTTCAGGACTGCTCTGAACTGAACTGAACCAGTCTGCTACTGGTAATCTGATTATTGCCATTTTAAATTAATTCAGATTCTGATGCCATTAAGGCTGGAATACAAATTATATTATTCTTCACCTTTATGCTTGACTCTGCTTTCCAAAATAATTCAGCACTTAATCTATCCATATGGTTTGACTGTCCAGGCACTGCTTCGGTACAAACTTGTCCCTGCTAAATCTTTTCTGGCAGTTTATTGTTTATTAATGTGCTGTGATGAGTGCCATGCCACTGGTAAATTTTCTTTTATGCTGACAGTAGCATAATTATTTATTCAGTTTCCCCCTGGTAGCTTGAAATTGTTTTAATTTGAAAGTTATTAACTGTATAGTGGATTTTGAAGGAAATGCCAAGATGAATATTCTTTACTTATTCCACTGCAGTAAATAATGGACTCCCAAATCTGTCCTTTGCTTGTTGCATATAAAAAGTACCAGGCATCAAGCTGACAACTATGCTAAACTGAAATGCAGTTATAGCCAGCATACATTGTGCATTAAAATATTGTATGTATTGTTCCTTGTATGTTTTGGCTACAAGCACTCGAACAACATACGCATGATGTTCATAGTGCCTCTACAGCCTTATTGTGGATTGTAATACATCTTGATATCCTTTGATATTCAATGGTTTGCTTGTAGGGTAGAGCCTGATTTGAAGACCATATTTTTGCATCCCTGTGTCAGTTGGCTGGCAGTTGAATTTTGTATTCTTGTTTTTCCTTTTGTTTCTGCAGTGGCAAATGCTATTCATGTTTAAAAAAAATACTACTGAGAAATATTTTAAACTTCTGTTGTATTTGGCACTATTTCTATGAAGAAAATGGAAAATGGTAATTGAGAGTTACAAATGGAGAAATATTCTTTTGATTATTTAGGTTTCTGATAGATCAATCATTTTTTTTTGGAAGTGCAGAATCACGTATAGTTGAACTCTAAAATGTGGAATCAAAACCTCTATCATTATGGGTTCATTGGCATTATGGATTCAAATTGTCAATAAACAAAATTACAAGTAGTGTCAGTTTTAAATGTTAGATTTTTATTGAATTTTTACTCCACATCAGCTTTTAAAAGAATTTATGTAGTTACGTAAAATGTCTTTTAGTGATCTGAATTTCTCCAGAAGACAGACATATCATTTCCTTTAATGGATCTTTACGATTGCATATTTGCAATATTGTACCAACAGCGAGGCCTGGCACATCAGACACATGCTATATTACCATTTTGGATCTCACTTACATCATTGTTTATGTTATTAAGTACAATATGTTAATACTGCAGCTGCAAGTTAGACATTTTTATTGGCTGGTTTTTGTTTTCTTCAATTCTAGCACTAATGTTAATGCTCTTCTACTACCTAGTTTTGTGTAATTACACATAAACTGTCATGTTCTCATATGTTGAAGAAATCACTAAGAATTCTAGGTAACAGAGATAGAACACAGTCCTGCAGATGACCTCAATTTTCTCTAAAATCAAAGGAGGTCAACGATGTTTAGTCAGATCAGGTAAAATGTACAGCAGGCCAGGAGGTGCCCTCCAGACCTGCAGCTTCTGCATACAGACATGCACCAAGAGACCTAGCACATACAGTCCATTTCCCTTGCATTTTTGGAGTGTTTTGTCTTGACAGCAAGAACGTGTCAGGTCGACCAGTTTTCTTGTGGGAATGGACGCTGTATCCCAGCATCATGGCTTTGTGACAGGGAGGATGACTGTGGAGATGAAACAGATGAAATGACATCCTGTGGTAAGTAAATTTTCTTTTGGGGAAAAAGGTTAAATTGCTTTATAAAAAGATAAACATATAAGGACCCCTTTTCATGTGAACTGACAGATAGAAAAAACACGAGGGGCCTTTTTGTTTTTATGTGAAGTGATAATATTCTTTCTGAAGTGGCAAATACAATTTATTTGATTAATAAACCCAAAGCAAAGGCTGCACTTTCTGTTAATGAGTTTTTAACTCCAGTACCAAATATGCTGCTCAGCAAACTTAACACTTTCCTAATTTACAGAAAAAAAAAATAAATTAAATGCATAAATTAAGGTAATAAGCAGACACTATGATGCCTTGTGTTCTAGAAATAGAAATCTCCATTACTTCAATTACCAGATAATCTGTGGAAGGCAACATGTAGGATCCAATCAGGAAATCCTGTTCATTCATAATCCCTTAATTTTTTTTAAATTATGAATTATTGATGACTAGCAATCAGCTAATACCCATTAGTTAAATTTTTATTGTTACTTTTTAAGTCCATGTGTAATTCTCAGCGTCTCCTCTTCTGTTAGTGCATTCAAGATTTCTCAGGATTTTTACATACAAATAGATGATGTGTTTCCTGGAATATTCATTTGTATACCTTATTTCTTACTATTTTTTTTCATTTTTCCTCTTTCAAAAGCTAGTTTTATATCGACAGCAATTGATATCTGATCAATTACTTCAATATAGGTAACATTTAGTAAAATCTAAATCAAAATAAAATCATGCAAGTAAAAATGAGAATATTTTAAGGTAGACTTCTAATGGCCATTCTTCAAGTCAAGTAAGTTCTTTTGTGTACAGAGGTAGAATGGGTGATCCCACTGGACTCACTGTATTTTGCAGCCTCTGTAGTTACCATGTTTTGTCGTGGTACAGCAGGGCACTTGGTACTGACATTCTTTATCTGTCTAGCTGTACAGTTTGTTCTTATCAGCATGCAGATATTAAAGTCATCTTTGTAATTTCTTCCCATGTGTTTTCTTTAGTATCCTGTCAACTGATCTGGAATATTTCTTCAGATCATTTAATCAGCATTTATATCACCTGCTATTTTCTGGTTTGGCCAAGCTTTACATGTGTCTTAGGTTTTAGAAGCTTGTTTCCTTATCCTCAAGCACTGTGGGTGTGCAAATGTGTCAGATATTTAGGGGTTTTTTCTGCCTTATAATTTAAAGGCTAATGAGCAGGCTAGTGGCATTGATTTAGCTGTTCTGTATAGTGGTATATGTTGCCTTCTATGAAACAGTTTAAAATTCTTCCTGTATTCACAACTTTTATATTAAAAGTAAAGTAATGGTTTGGTTTTTTGGTACCATTACAAATTGTCAGGTTTTAACTTCAGCAGCCTTCAGCTATGAGTGACTTTTGGCTCAGATTGAATCAAGAACTTCAGCATACTCTTATTGTCATACAGCTGGGGTGAGCAGGAAT